GCCTATTAACATAACTATTTATATGAACTATTAACAATTATTAACATATTTTAGCCTTTATTTTACAGTTAAAATATGTTTATCAAATAAAGTCTGTTACAATTAATCAGGGATCCCTTTAAAATACAGTATATCTGCTGGTTCATCAGGTATTTTGCGAACAGTGCAAACCCAGCAAAACAATCACCTCTGTTTTTGCGTGTGGGTGGTAAATAAAACAATATACTGTATGTAAAAAGCTTTTATAAAAAAAAAAAACTTTTCATAAACATGAGAGTATTGTAATAAAAAACTATTTTCTACAGATGAAATTGAAACAAAATCATTTTAAAGACTACATCAATAACAACTTTTTCTGTTTTGTGTTCCGAGTATTTGTTTTGCGAAATGTTCTGTTTTCTGTTTCCTGAAAATGTTTTTGCTCTTCTCTGCTTCACGGCAAGGTTGTCACCACAAACGTAAAGTAAAAAAAATTAAAACACATGCTGAGTTTATAAATCTTTTACTCTGCAGCACAACCAGGTGAATTACAAAAAGAAAAAACAAGTTTGTATTTCACATACAGTTTTACCATTGAGGACAAAAGTGAGACAGTGATTTATTAGAATTAAACTGAGTTTGAAACATCTTTTATATCAACACAAACTCAAGAATTTACAAAATCACTCCAACTTGTCAAAACTAAAGTAGAGCTGTTGTTTTTTTTTCACCCAGAAGTCTAATAAAAAAGCATTTATAAAAACACACCTTTATTTTAAAAATGTAAAAAGTAGTAAAGGAATCAGTCTGCTTATTTCGACATTATAAGACCTAAACGTGTTTTTTAAACACTGAAATACTATTCTACTCCAAAAATAAAGACAGCGTAACGCATTGGCACCAGTATCAAAAACAAACATTAAGTGGGAAGTTAGTTTCACTTTACTGTGAAAGAGCCGACTAGTACAGTGGTAACATGTAGTATTTCTGCCCAACGGAAGGCAGGAGCATGGAGAAACAATGGGCCTCGTGCAAGAACATGTTTGTATTCTTATCCTAAATTTCTCTTACTGTTGTTCGTACGAAGGGTTCGTACAAACATGTCACGTCAGATTCAACAAACTCTTCTATCTTCAGGAAAAGTGTGTAAATGAGCTGCGTAAACATGATGAATGCGTATCCAGCTGCTAGTGCACGGGGAGAGGAGATTAGCATAATTACCATCCCAAAAACACCATATAAGGCTATGTTTCCTGCCTCAGGTATCAGGAAGTGTCCGTTCATGAAAATTACAGCGAAAACTAAGAAGAACTTTACAAGTTCAGAGATTGAAGTCCGTCTGTCAGAGATGCAGAAAAGAAAAATCTGTCATTTTTAGCAGGTCAGCTGTGGAATAAAAGGAGCTGCTAAAAGTATAAACAACTGTGTTAAATCATTTTCATTTATTCAGAAGCCACACCCCCGCGCGGTGTCAGTTGCGGTTCTGAGAAAAGCATTTTAAAATGTTTTCAAAATATGTCTGGTACTTTGGAGAAAATCCAGGACTCGCTGGAGGGATTATGTATCCCCTCTGGCCTGGGAACGTCTCGGGATCCCCGAGGATGAGCTGGAAAGTGTCACTGGGGAGAGGGATGTCTGGGTTTCTCTGCTGGACTTGATGCCTCTGTGACCCGACTACGGATAAGAGGAAGAAGATGGAGACTTTGGAGAAAATAGCATAGCTGATGTGCTGAATAAAACCCAACAAAATATAAAATTTCATTAAAAAAACATCTGGCAAGCTAATTATATACCTAGACAAATTAAACTTCAATTAATGCATAATTTAAGTTGGTTTGTAGTTTGAGATCTTCATATAAATATTGTAGTGTTATACAACAGCATTAACCAATTTATTTTAATTTAAACAATTTATATAATTAGTCTAAATTATTACATTTAAAATTATTACTCTAATTCAAACAGAATAGCCTATTGTCAAGATAATCATAGAGTGTGATTTATTTTCAACTCAAAATATCTTCAAACTAATGAAATATAAAGTTATTAGGGAAGAAAACCCGTCTGGATAACAGCAGACTGACAGCTCGTAAAATATTCGACAGGTCTGGACATTTCGTGAATTTTGTTCGTATCTGAAGAAAATCTTAGAATACGAAAACATTGGTGAATGCCACAAATTCTCCTAAATCACTCGTACGAACGGTTCTTGCATGAGGCCCAATGTGAGTGCTTAATTAAAGGGGGCGTGTCCGTGTGTCCCTTCAAATGGGCGGTCCTAATGACTCAGAAGATGCTCCTGTGTGACGTCGGAGTGAGCGACCGCGACCGAAGCGGGTGGAAGTTCGAGTCCCCGCCGCTGCTGGCGCACCCTGGCGTGGCGGCGTCCATGTTGGAGGGCGACTCCAGCAGGATCTCGTCCGGCAGCGGGGGAGCCCCGGGGTCGCCGGGCTTCGGGAGGCTGGAGGCGCCGACGTCCGACGGCAGGTTGTTGCATTTCTGCAGCGACGGCACGTTGAGCGAGCCGGCGGCGTCCGAGGTGGAGGGGCTCTGCTCGCCGTCCGGGTGGAAGAGCAGCGTGGAGTTGTTGGAGAACGTGTTGGCGAGATCGCTGGTGGCGCTCGGGGAGCTGAAGGAGCTGTCGGACGAGGAGCAGGAGGCGCCCGAGGCTAAAGGGACGAAGAAACGAGAATGTTTTAAGAAACGATTAAAAGCACAAAGAAGATAACATCGACACTTTGCGGCCACTCACCTCTGAGAGACTCGATCTTCTCGTTCTTGGCCTTCTGCACTTCATCCGTGATCTTGGCGATGATGAAGTTCTGCGAGCGCATCTCCCGGATGGAGTCGATCAGGGCGTCCAGACCTCGCGGGTTCTCGGCCAGGATGTCCAGCAGGGTCGCCGTCCTCTTGCTCTGCGTGCTCCTGCAGCTGATTTCCTCGGCGTCGTCTCGCGTCAGGATCCTTCGGGAGCGCAGGTAGTCCAGGTGGCGATCCGCTCTGATCTTGTCGCAGAGGTAGTGCCGCAGTCTGGTCAGCACCTGGAGAAAGAGGCGGGGGGAAGGGTGAAGGTTTAAATCCCGGAACTGGGAACCAAACAGGTTGTATGACCAAGCACGCAGGATTCACCTTTGGCAACGCTTCTGATAAGACAAACTACAAAAACACTGCACAAAATGTAAGGAAATTAGTTTTGTCAGTACTTTTGGGGTATAAATTTTATTTTAAGCTTATTTCCAGTCCTATATTTCCACAATCTGGTACCAAACTCTATCCTCCAAGATTTTGGGCACGCTGTTTGTTCCAGAATGACCAATCGGGACATCATCCCACAGGAGTGTGAGACCAAACTGGTGAGCAGCATGAGGTAACACACTCATGTCAGACTCATCAGCAGTTGTGGTTGTATATGGTTCTTCCACATGTTACTGATACCCCTGTTAGGTTAAATAAATAAATACACTTTAAAATGATCATTTTGTCTTTTCCCCCCATTACAACTGATCCAATAAACATGAAGCAGGATCACCAGCAGAATAAATTATTTGACATTGGCAGAGATTTGGCAAGTTCTTCATTCACAACTACATTTTTCTAACAAATTTGGCACCACTTAATGGTAACTATACAGGCTTTCCACGTGTAAGAATAGAATTACAATAAACAAACATATATTTCTTTAATTTTTATTAACATTAACCTAACTTTTTGCGTTTTTGGTTAAAAAAAATCAAATGTGGTGTCATAGCGGGCGTGGTGAGACATTTCCTCATTTAATAGGCCTCTTACTCAAATTACAAACATCATGTTGAAGGTTAGTTGTTTCATCACAACTCATTATCATAAAACCTCATTCATTTCTGTTGCAGCTGATGTCTGAATAACTCACGTCTTTTTTGATCTCTGCCATTTCATCTTCAGTGAGCTGAGGCGCATCCATCACTTAGTTAAATATCCAGGTGTTCCGGGTGTAGAACGACGCTTTAAATAAGCTATAAACTAGTAACAGCTAAATAAACAAAATAAATAAATAAACTATAAGCGTTAAAGACCGTGACACTTCATATTTCGCCGTTTAAGGTCCACTTTCCGCAGAAACTTTGAGTATCACGGGAAAAATACATAAAAAAGTCCCGGACTTCCTGATTTGTCGCGTCGAGGTTTAACTACGTCGACGGCAAAAACAGAAGTGCTCTGCAGGCGTGGACGTTTCAGCTCTTATATCTCATTTCCCTCCTCTATTTCTCAACAAAATGCCAGATATAAGGCAGTTATTATTTTTAATCATAAAAAATGTAGACTTTCTTAACTTTCAACAGTGCTAACTGAGCTGATTCACTTTTCCAGCGTTTTAACACAGGTGAGGAACAGTTTCTATGAACGTCACAAGGGGGCGCCATTGGACCATTTTTATTTCGCTGCCAACACAAAGGCATAAAAACAGGACAGCAACACAGTTTGACCTGATTGTAAAGGCACAAGTTTTTTTTAATAGTCTGATTCACTTCATTCCAACTGTAAACAGAACATTAAAAATCAAGAAATACACATCACCCATACAATCACCATAAAAACACACTCAACATCAGCATCAAACGCACAACAATAAAATGATCATTTTCTGAGTGTTACAACTCTGGAAGATGTTGATTTAAAAGCACCAAATGACGGTTAGATCCATTCATCCACCATTTAACGAGGCTGGTACGAACAAAAAACTTAGTATGTAAGGATTTGTGTAAGTTTCTGTTTTTTTTAATACGTTTAAAAAGGAAAAATATTTTTGCAGCATACTATGAGGTTTAGCCAGCTCATTGTCAAGTGGATAAATGTAGCACCAAGATGCTTGAATATGTTTAAAAAATGACACAAAGCACAATTTTAGATCTGATCTAAAACAGTTATCAAACCCTGGTCAGACAACATGGATACTCCCTGTAAGGAAAAGCAAAAGTTACCATTAAAACACGATAAAAAATATATATACAAGACAGTTTTCAGTTTTCTGAAACACAATAAAAAAAAATCTTTCCACTATTAAAATTTAAATTGGTCAAATAAATATCACAGGAGAAGCACTACAACAGTTATTAAATGCAAACTTTTGTCATTTTAGAAAACACGATGATCCAAAAGTTGACATCTGCAGCCCTTTAATCAAACATTGTTTTGTAAGAGTTTTTCAGGAAATCGACATAGTTCCGAATGCTTCGATTGTGGCTCTCCGATTGTTCCAGGCTGAGCTGCAGGTCCTTCAGACGCACCTCAAATGTTTTTTCTGCCTGCAGATTGAGAAACAGGCAAACAGAGGCTTTTCCTTGAGCTCGAGTTAACAAAAAACACATCCAATAGTTTGGTAGAAAATAAAAAGCTCTAATAGGTTTTCTATAGTTTAAAAAAACGTTATGCTTACAGTTACTTTGTTCTGACGAAGAAGCCTCAGCTCGTTCTCACGTTTTCTCTTCTCGGCTTCCAGCTCCAAAATTTTCGTCTGCAAGTTTTCTTCTCTGGAAGCAGCTTGAAATTTAACTATTTTGACCTGAACACATGATGAGAAAATAATAAGAAACTTGGCACAAAAAGTGAGGAAATTCATGTTTTTTAGATTATTTCTTTGTTGTAATGATGCTTCTTGGTGACAAATCCTAAACCGCTGTAAAGGCTGTTAATTTCCCTTTTAAATGGTGCCACATTTGTAAGGATCATGCATTTGTGGGGTGAGCTGAGTATGTGGGTTACACACATGAATAATTTGCCAAACAGCTTATTTTGCTGCTGCTATTGAGTCGTTCTGATTCTGGTGCCCGGTAGGGTTGGGCAATAATGGCAAAAAAAATAATCACAGTTAATTGTGGTATTTAGCCTATAACGATTAATTTGACGATTAATCTCCTGGAGTCCCTGCACACCCTTATGTCCTCCTAGTCACATGACCAATTTAGTGGGAAAGATTTGTTCTTCATAAAAATCTGTTCCAAATTGTGTCAAAATTACAGACTTCAATTTTTAAATTGTGTTGATAGATAAGTAAATTACAGAACCTTTTTTTTAACGTTCGTCATATTTGAAGCGGAGAGGAGCACCGAGCGGCCTTGTGGCAATAATCGTATTAATCGTCAAGTGCCATAAAATAATGGATTGTTTTTCTGACGATTAACTGCACATGATACGATTATGCCCACCCCTAGTATAAGATTTATTGCCAAGAAGCATTGTTACAACAAATAAATAAACACAAATATCCTTAATTATAAAGCAGAAACAGAGGCAGTGTGTGATAACTCTTCTTCGTCTTTAATTAAAACAAAGTGTTGAGTAGACTAAATGGTTAGAGGCTTGTAACACCAGACAATGTTTTCTGTTCGTGATTGGACACACTTCTCTTATTTCAACCTCTAATTTCTTGTCAGCGGTCGTTTCCTGAGGCGTACCTGCTCTCTGACGTCCGCCAGAGCCGCCTCCAGCTGCCGGCTCAGGGCCTGACACTCTGCCGAGCGCTGGTCCAGCTGCTGCTTGCTGTAGGTCAGAGCTTCCTCCTGAGCGGCCAGCTTCCGGACGAGCTCCAGGTTCTCCTGCTGCAACTCGTCCCTTTGCCTGCAAACACAAGACGCGATAAAAAAAAAAAAAACGAACATGTTTGACCAGGTTCTGCGTTTTCAGTCGGTCCAAAGAAACCGTTGAAACCGACGAACGTCTCACTTTTGAAGCGACTTCACGTTGCTGTGTCGCTGTGTGTTAGCTTCACGAATGGACTCGTTCATCTCCACAGATGATCTCAGCTGTTTAGTTTGACTCTCCGTCTGTATTGACAAAAACTTAACATTTGATGGCGTTTTTGCAACATAATGTGGGAAGTTTTCAAACTGTTTTATTGGGAAATTATTTGGGGGGGAAAAACACATTTAGGGGGAAGCTGCAGAGAAGTGACACACAAAACAGGTGCATGCTACACTGCAAATCTCTGGCTGTACTGCCACCTACTGGTCAGATGTGGGAAACTGACTTTTTTTTTTGCACACCTGAAACTGCAGCTGCTTAACACACTCTGACTTTTCTGAGCACTTCCTCTCCAGGCTCTGCAGTCTCTCCCTGGACCGAAGGAGGTTCTGCTCGGCCGCGMTCAGTAACTCAGGGTAAGCCTGAAGTTCCTCTACACGCCCCTGCAGCTCCCGCCTCACCTGGACTTCCAGAGGAGGGCGGCATGAGGAGCAGATTTTTTTATTTTTATTTTTTTTTATTTTGGGGGTGAGGAGGAGAGACAAAGTATTATGTGAATTAATCCCAACATTAATTCTGATGCATGAAACGATTTAATGCATGCTAAATCTTTTTTTTCCTTCTTTTTTTTATAATAACTCAGATGTAATCATTAGCTAGATGTAAAAAAACACAAACTGAAAAAGAGGAACTTACCGCCTCCACCTCTGTCGACCTTCCTTCTCGTGTCTTTTCGGTTTCTCTTAAGAGATTTGCATATTTTATTCTGAGGCCGTCAATCTCAACTTGAAGTTCTGCAACCTTGAGACCAAAAAATAAATAAATAAATTAATATAAATAATAAGACATTCTTGACAAAGACGATAAAGCTGCTGAACTCTCACACAACTCAAAAAGGAAAGCTATACATTCAGTTTCACACTCGTCACTAAGAAGGAGAGACGCCAGCTGATTTATTCACCACAATCAGAACCTACTTCCTATTTCGCTTCTCAAAGCATGATTTTCTGATTGCTTCAGAGTGAAAAGCATAATGAGCATTTCAAGAGATCATATTTAATGAAAGAAAAGGAATGGAAATCACTGCATGATACATACTTGTACAGCCTTTAATTTGCTAATAATCTTCGTTTCTAGGAAAATTTAAAGGGATCCACGATTAGTTGTAACATTAAACTTTATTTGATAAACATTTATTTTAACTGTAAAATAAAGACTGTAAAAATACTGTAGGCTGTTCAGTTTTGTAATTTTTTTTAAATATATTTTAACACGGACAGAGCCATTTAATTTACATGCAAAGCATTCTGGGTAAATGATGACATCAACTAGGTCATCGGTGCTAGGGTGCTAGCGAGCTATATCCACCCTGAAGGTTAATCTTGGACAATATCTGATGATTGACTCTTTTAAATGAAACCAGAGAGCGTTGACAGAGAGGAGAAGGTAGAAATGACTCAGCCTGTAACTGAAAATATGGATGGAGGACAACAGAGCTGCTTCATGGAAGAAGAACCTCAGCTTAGCCTGTTAGCCTTTGCGCTAGTGCTGATGCTATATTGCCTTATATGTATTAGCTCAGTGCTAGCACGACAAACAAACTAAACTGTGATCCTCCATCCATATTTTCAGTTGCAGCTGAATCATTTTTGTGTTCCCCTCTCTGTCATGTGGATGGAGGACCTCAGTGATGAGAGGAGAATGTGTAGCACTGAGCTAATACATATATATGGTGATAGCATCGGTGCTAATGCTAAAGCTAACAGGCTAAGCTGAGGTTCTTCTTCCATGAAGCAGCTCTGTTGTCCTCCATCCATATTTTCAGTTACAGGCTGAGTCATTTCTACCTTCTCCTCTCTGTCAACGCTCTCTGGTTTCATTTAAAAGAGTCAATCGTCAGATATTGTCCAAGATTAACCTTCAGGGTGGATATAGCTCGCTAACAGCCTCGTGCCTATGACCTAGTTGACATCATCATTTACCCAGAATGCTTTGTGTGTAAATAAAATGACCCCGTCCGTGTAATATATTTTTAAACTTTTAGTTTAAAAATTATAAAAACTGAACAGCCTACAGTATTTTTACAGTCTTTATTTTACAGTTAAAAATATATGTTTATCATATAAAGTCTAATGTTACAAATAATCGGGGATCCCTTTAAGAATCTTCACTAAAGCTGTTATTTTTTATTCATAAGCTGCTGATAATTAGAGACATCTGAACCACTTTTTAAACAATAGATTGTTTTTCACTGTCCAATCCAGGTCCTCGAGGTCCACTATCCTGCATGTTTTAACAGTTTCTCTGCTTCAGCCCACTTGATTTGAGAGGTGATTAACAGGCTTCTTCAAAAATCAAAGAGGTCATTTGGAGCAGGGAGACAAGTAAAAACACACAGGATAGCTGTCCTCCAGCACCAGGACTGGACCCTGCTGCTTTGGACTAAAATATTCAGGAAAAACGAACCTGACGTTGGCACTGTTCAGCTTCACGTTTCTTCTCCTGCGAGATGGTTTTCTCTTCAGTAAGAGCAGACTCGCAAGCTGAGAGCTGCTGCTCCAGTCGAGCCACAGACGCCTGCAACCACACAGAAATGAACTTGGTGTTAGTTGGATTACATTTCAGAAAGCGGTGAAAATTGCTTGACATAAAAATGCGTGGCTTAAATGAGAATTGGGGACAAATAGCCCAGCTGTAAAGGACTTTAGAGGAGACATATCAAGCTTTTAAATCCTTATTTTCCACATTTTAATCATCGAGCTGGGGTCCATATAAAGTGGAACTGCAATGCTTTGATCTGAATTCCAGCTTATTTTAACTCCACAAGCCCCGCCCCTTTTCTGACTTGTCTCTCAGATCAACTCTTTTTGAGGCTGTCTCTTTAAATCCAAAGGAGGCTCTTTACACCCAGCCCCACCTACAGCTTCCAGAGCGGTTCATTACTGTTTTATAGATGGGTTTACGGCTACGTAGCAGTGCAGAAACGTTTTATTTACAGATTACTTAAAAGATGTCAACGAGGGAAGACTTGTCCATCCATCTTTACATGTTGGAGCCAGAGTCTGACCCAGGGACAGAGAAGAATGAAGATGAACAAATAGTAGTTGGTGAGTCCAGACCTTATTTGGCAATTTTTTTTGCAAAAATAATAATATATAATAATATAATATACTGTATAATAATATGATGTTATAGTTCAGAAAACGTTATGTCAAATTACATAGATTTTCTTCCATTTTGCAGGCATAGGGCAATCTTACAGATTTTTTTCAAAAACTGCTTGAAATTTATTTTAAGTGTCAGAGCCTGTAGGACATAAAACACCACCCCAGTAAATATTAAACAACCACCTCCCAACGTGCCATAATTTCACCATGTCTGTTATCTCCGCCCCATGTTCTGCACACACGTGAGTAATATGGATTTTTTTTATTTTTTGTGAAAATTACGGATTTTTTTTTCAGGTCAAGATACGGGTAAACACCTGCAGGGTTGACATGAATGTGTCACAGGAAATAGAGAAAAATGAATGGGTTGAAAAATATGACCCAAACAGAAAAACAAAGATCTACGCAGCACCAGGGGAGAATAAATTCTAATTTTTTTGCACTCTTTGATGCTACAAGGTTCTAAGTCCACAACGAGATGTATGAAACGGTTAAAACAGTGGATTTTGCCTGATAGGTCTCCTTTAAATATACTTCCAATATAATTAGTGCTTTTATGGCCTTTTTAAATGTAACTTTTACGTGCATTCAGAGAAATACCACATACTGTGAGTACAGTGTTACGGACAGTGAGGTCTCCATTGTGACTGATGAGTTTTTCAATCTTCTTTATCCTCGTTTCGTTTGCTGCAGTTTGTTCATCCTTCTTTTTTTGCAGCTTCACTGTCAAGTCTGCAGCTTGACTTTGTGTTTTTAAAGGAAAAAAAAAAACAATGAAACTTTCAGCTGTCTCATCCACACCGATGTGTAGTTTTGCAGGTTTGGTGAGTAAACAGAGAAGCAACAAACCTTTTCAGTAAGTCAATCTGAGCTGTGAGTTTTTCTCTCTCCTCCTCCACCTGCTCCTTCTGCCGCTTCCTGGAGTTTCTCTCTGAATGAGCTTTAGTCAGCTGAGCTTCCTGGGATTTAAAGCAGAACTCGTGACGCTGCACAGAACATCTAAATACCTACGGCCGTCTCGTCTTTATACTTTTTCTTTCAGCTGTGCGTAGCATTCTTCAGCGGCAGCTTCAAACCTCTCAGCGCGCAGTTTCTGAGCTCGGGTGGCTTTCTTTAGCGACTCCTTGTCCTGCGCTGCTTTCTTGGTCAGAGAGGCGATGGATGCTTTCAGTTCGTCCGTCTTCAGCTCCTGCCGCGTTACAGTTCGTTTCAGGACCTAGAATCAAGCGATTTAATGCGTCATTTCAAAGATTTTATCATAATTAAAGCTTGTTTTCAGACTTCCAGGTTGATACATTTCTACATTTACCTGTAACTGAACAGTCAGCCGATTGTTCTCCGCCTCCTTCTTACGCAGCTGCCCCTGCAGGCGAGTGCGAGTTGATTCTGCACACTTGGTCATGTGAACGGCACTTTTAATGTTCTCCTGGAGAAACAAACATACTCATGTTTGTTTTAGGAAACCATTTCTCCTAGCAGCAGTTGCTGTGTCTACCTGCTCTTCTCTCCTCATCTTCATCAGTTCCTCGATCCTCAGTTCGGTCTCACTCAGATCTTTTTTTAAACGCTCAGGGAAGGAAGCAAGGACAACCAGAATGCATCAATAAACTCGTGTAAAATGTTTTGTTGTGATCATTTTCATACAAATAAAGCACAGATTTTTTTTCAGTTATTTCAGCTCCAATCATCACAATTACAGCCAATTATCTACTTTAAATCACTTTCTCAGACTATATGTTCAACCTGTCGTTTCGAGCTGAATAATAGTAAAAAAAAAAGACATTTTAAGAAAAAGAGAAAACACTCACCTCGTTTTCACTTTCTGTCTGTGTGAGCTTGTGCTGCAGGAGGTCTATCTGTTTGTTTGAGTCAATTCGATTAACCTGAAAGGAGTCGAGGCGAAATTATTCCAAGAATAAATCTTCAACGTTTGGCCAAAATGCTTCCACAATCTGTACGGCGCTGCAAATTCAAACATTCGGCATCACAAACCTCTGCATCCTGAACTTCTTTTAGCTTCTGCCGCACAGATTTGTTTATCCGTCTAAAATCTTCCAGCTTTTCGAGCAAAAGTCCTCTCCGTCGTACGATTTGGTGCTTGTTTTTGGGAGACTCTCCTAAACCCTGAATTGAAAGAAGATAAATGAAATGTTGGGAAAAAAATTAAAAACACTTATTTCCTACACATCTTTGCATGCTTAAACTGCACAAAGCATACAGCAAATTCATCTTCAATTGCATCTTTGAAAGACGCAAGTTGTATCGCCGCAAAGTTGCCAGCAGCTTCAGCATCAAGAAGTAGCTTCAGTAAAGAGGTCCTCCCATCGGTGAGGTCTTCAGTGCTAAATAAAAGACAGGAAATAAAGAAATGTAAGCGACTTATCTTTAAGGCTGAATGATGAGAATATGTTTCTAAAGATTTCTTCACTCTAGGACATTACCGATTGATCTTAGCTCTCATCTGAAGACTGTTACATATCCAATTCTCCCCTTGTAGATGACGACTGCTTTCTAGGTCACAGCAATTGAGAGCCAGATCCTCCTTGGTGGAGCTGGATCCAAGGGAGGGACTTTGGGGCTCACCCTCAGGAGACATAGCTCACAGTACCTACACAAACAACAAAACAAACAAGATTCAGTGATATATCAGAGCAGGGTAAAAGTTCAAGTAAATATGCTAATAAAATGAGCTTTATTTTAGTCTTTTTTTTTTCCTTTAAAATATTTGACTCCAGTCAGAAAGCCAGTTGTCAAAGCAGGCTTACTCCATTGCAACACGAGTTTTGACTGCTTGCTTTCCGTAACATCTGCTAACTTAATAAATGAGCAAGCTAGTAACAAATGCATTACGTTTACTGTAACTAAACCTAGTCCTGTTCAAATTTTTATTTATGTTCTGAAAATAAAAACGTAAATACTCACGCTTTCGCTTGTGTCTGTTGTTGTGACTCATGCCACTCCAACAGGGGAGACACCAGCGACGTCGTGCATGATTGGCTAGCACTGAGGCAACGTCATAACGCGAACACATTTGCCCGCTGTCGATTGGCTCAGTGTGGAGAAACAAGGCGGGACTTGGTTTGATTTGGGTTTCAAACAGCCAATGAGCAAAGTGGCTTTCTGAAACCATGAAAACGATAAGGAAGTTTACATCCCCAGAACGTCTGGTAAACCGTACTGGGATAAAATCAACAAAAAAGAAGCGCATTTGGTTTGTTTTATTATTAGTATCTCAGTTTATAACACATGTATTTTATGTATATCTGTAGCCTATAAACGTTTGCTGTGTAGCTTTGCATCTCTAAGTTTTAAAGTTAGCTCGACGGCTAATGCTCGGCGTGTGTGAAAATGTTCAAAGTAAAAATACTCTTCGTCGGTCCTACTGAGGTAAGAGTCCAGCTCGTATTCTGGAGGATGTAATTCTAAAGTTTCAGATGTTGACGAGTAATTTAATCTCAACTATACATTATTCATGTTTACTGCTGTAACAGCCCTTCTCAACAAACATCATAGTGCACATATTCCGCTTAATTTTACCAAGCTGGTTTGAAGACAAGTGTAGTTTTCAAGTATAGTTAAAAACCACAAAGATTATATTGGTTAAATCTGGCTTACACTTTCCTGCACATCATAAAAAAAAAATCACAAAAACAGGCATTTGTAAAGTACATCTATAAAAATGCATGAGATGTTTCAGTTGTTTTATGTTATAACTAGGTAGGTAGAATGCTGTGTACTGTAATAAATTACTTGCATACATTACTTGGATGCAAGTGTCTCAGTTTTACTGTACACGAGGCTGAAAAGTGTTTATAAGAAATATTTGTTTCAAGATGTATAAAAGATGAGAAGTTTTAAAGTCATCTTCCTGCCTGTTTTTCAGAGTGGGAAAACTGTTCTTGCAAATTTCCTCTTTGACACGACAGGAAACACGGGCGGCGAGTATCGACCCACCAAAGGAGTCAGGTAAGAAAAGCCCTGCAAACTGCAGCTAACTTCAATAATGAAGAATGTAGTTTCCATTAAAAGTTTAAAATATAACAAAATAAATACCTACATTTTACTGTTTCAAGGATACTGGAGTTTGAGTCAAAGCTTGAGGGCAGTGGTGACAAAACATGTGAGGTTGAGCTCTGGGACTGTTCAGGAAATTTCAAGTAAGTTTAGTAACGACTTCACAGTGTCCCTTTGAAGGGATCCCTGATTAGTTGTAACATTAGACTTTATATATAAACATATATTTTAACTGTAAAATAAAGACTGTAAAAATACTGTAGGATGTTCAGTTTTTATCATTACACAGACGGGGGCATTTTATTTGTGTGCAAAGCATTCTGGGTAAATGATGACATTAACCAGGTCGGTGCGAGGCTGTTAGCGAGCTATATCTACCCTGAAGGTTAATCTTGGACAATATCTGACGATTAACTCTTTTAAATGAAACCAGAGAGCGTTGACAGAGAGGAGAAGGTAGAAATGACTCAGCCTGGAACTGAAAATATGGATGAAGGACAACAGAGCTGCTTCATGGAAGAAGAACCTTAGCTTAGCCTGTTAGCTTTAGTGTTAGCACCGACGCTATCACCATATATATATGTATTAGCTCAGCGCTACACATTCTCCTCTCGTCACTGAGGTCCTTCATCCACATGACAGAGAGGGGAACACAAAAATGACTCAGCTGCAACTGAAAATATGGATGGAGGACCTCAGTTTAGCTTGTTTGTCACGCTAGCGCCGAGCTAATACATATAAGGCAATATAGCGTGGGCGCTAGCGCAAAGGCTAACAGGCTAAGCTGAGGTTCTTCTTCCATGAAGCAGCTCTGTTGTCCTCCATCCATATTTTCAGTTCCAGGCTGAGTCATTTCTACCTTCTCCTCTCTGTCAACGCTCTCTGGTTTCATTTAAAAGAGCCAATCATCAGATATTGTCCAAGATTAACCTTCAGGGTGGATATAGCTCGCTCACACCAGGACCTAGTTGATGTCATCATTTACCCAGAATGCTTTGCGTGTAAATAAAATGGCTACGTCCGTGTTAAAATATATTTAAAAAAATTTACAAAACTAAACAGCCTACAGTATTTTTACAGTCTTTATTTTACAGTTAAAATAAATGTTTTATCAAATAAAGTTTAATGTTACAACTAATCGTGGATCCCTTTAAAAAATCTAACTGTTTATTTCTTGGGTTATGAAGTTATATGTGTAAATGCAGTGGTATTCCCCTTCGCAGGTTTGAATCCTGCTGGCCTGCGCTGATGAAGGACTGCAATGGTGTGGTTATCATTTTTAACCCCGACGTTCCAAGCCACCTCAAAGAAATCGAGACTTGGTCCTCCATGTTCATTTCCACACAGAGTTTGCAGGACAAGCAACTTCTACTCATAGCTCACCACAAGCCTGGCAGCGACACAGAAGAGAAGAGGCTGTCTTTAGGTAACCTATGTGCCGACCTACAAAATTTGCGGTACAAGCCGTTTGCTTCCCAGCCTAACTTTTTTCCCCCTTTCTCTTTTTGATGCAGCGCCAAATCTGAGCAGACTGCAGCTTATTCACTCCAACCTGGAAGAGGAGCCAGAGGATGTGAGGCACGCTTTCTTTAGATACTTGGGAAACGTCGTCACTGCAATGTCAGAGAGTCGAGAGCTAGAGGAGATGTCCATTATTACATAGCAGCAAAATCTGGAAAAAAAAACTATTTTACTGAGAACACATTTCATTGGCTTATGCTACATATCATATTATTTTTCCATTAATCATTTGAATGTGAGAAGTGCAAAGGGAGGAAAAAAGTTCATGATTTTCAGACATCGTATCCAACTATGCCTCCTTTGCCAATGAAGAACCACATCAGCACTTCAGTGGTCACTAGTCCATTCTTTAAGGCGTCCTGCAAAAGAAACAAACAAGAGAAAAAAAAGATGCACAAGAACTGCTTCAGACCAAGTTCAGAGTTCAAAGATTTTTCAGCAGGGTTTCTTTATATTGTTCACACTGCCTGAGATGCTTCTGTTTCAGCAAGAGATTAAAATTTCAGTGCTAGGATTCTGACAACGGGACATTTGTTTTATGAGTTTGGTCTTTGTTCTAACATAAAATAAAAAAAACGTTTCTTTAATTTTATTATGGCACAAACTATATACATATTTTTATATCGGCTATTTGAACAACACAGAGTACATTTGTGTTAATGGGAGGGAGGCAGATGGAACAGTGAGCTCGTAAAAAGCACAGGAATTGTAGGAACGAAATCATCAGAGGTACGGCACTGAGATAAAGCTAGAGATTATGCTGAGATGGTTTGGACATGTCCAGAGGAAGGACAGTGCGTATATTAGTAGAAGGATGTTAGAGATGCACCTGCCAGTAAAAATGTAACAGTGAAGGCTGAAAGAAATACGGCGAGTAAGAACAGAGTTCGATGGAGGAGGATGTCCTGATGTGGCCACCCCTAAAGAGGGAAAACGAGAAGAAGGAGATGCAACACTGAGTTGTGTTATCTTCAATATTATCATTATAGGTGTGTTGGAGCAGGGAAATAAGCAAAACTTGCAGGATTGCAGCCCTAGAGGACTGGAGTTTAACACCAGTGCCCTAAGCACGTTATTTACTGTAAAGGTGCAAGAGTGGCTCTTTTGATTGTAAAAGTTTCAGACCCTCAAAGTTAATGTTGAATTTCTAGTTAGAAACCTGGGAACTTTTTAAAACAATAGCTAAGTAAAATAATGTTACTTAGTAACAGAACCCAAATTTACACATACTTTTTTCTCTCCATATATACATATATATGTTACTCCCCTCAGGATGGCATTTCATGGGACTTCAGGCTTACCATATATACATAT